CTGCTCTTTAAACTTTTAAATCATGATAGTTTCCGCTAGACTCTGGAGAGAGGAGCACAGTCCGGTGTACCCATAGTTGTTCCTCTCAACAACAAGAGACCAAGAAGTTGGATTTGAACCTTTACTTTAATTTAAAGTAAAGGTTCAAATCCAACTTCTTGATTAATCTATTCTATCCTCATGGTACATTTCTAAAAAGATTTCTGCATTTAAAAATGATGGTATGTACTAGCAATACTACACAATGACGTTGCTTTATCTTTTTATTCATCTTTTACAATTCATTTAACAACCCCCCCCCAAAAAAAACCAAAACAACAAAAAACAAAAAAACAGACAAACAAATAAACATAACCTTTAAAAACACATTGACACTACAGTGATACACTGTTTATCTTCTCACATTTACAGAAGCAGAATGGATAAACTCAATGCTGGACAAATACATGTATTTAATTTACATAATTCTCTCAACGTTTGTCATTCTTTTTCCACATTTCAAACACATGCGTAATTAAATTACATTCCCAGAAACAACAAATCACCAAACAGAACAATGCAAGAGTTGTGAGAAAAAAAGATATATATATGACAAAACAGAAAAGTCATGCCTATACCTGAAACCTCGTCCTCTCATTTTGTTATTATAGGAATGCAAACCTCAAACAAGAGTAGGTCTCCGGTCAAATGGAATATTGTGTTATCGAGACACAGTGCGTTGACAACTGGGAAAATGAAAGCAAGAATTTTGTTGCATGCGTTCATGGATTTAGTGAAATTCATTATAATTATGTGAAGAGGTAGATTTCTGGCCATTTGAACATTCCTTCATGTAATTGACAAGTAGGGTGATTGGTCCGTCCGCCTACAAACCCAGTTATCGGGAGACAGAAAAAACAGGTTCTTAGTTGGATTTCAAGTTGCACAACTAAGCTCCTACTCATACTCATAGGCTTCCCTTGTTTATTTTATAAATAATGAAATAATGATTTCCGTAAACATTGATGTTTGAGGGAAGAAAAAGTTTCACTTAGTAAAAAGAAATAAAACATGGAACAGATGGCCCTGGATAGAACCCAAGACTAGGTAGGTGTTCTTAATCTTGGATCATTTTGTGGTTTTCAATTTCAAGGCTCTCAACCCATTAGACTTGGTCCTGTTGGAGACAGATATTACATTCAGACATCCCACCTCTTAAACAACCTGACACTAATAGTGTTGATAGGGACTTTAAACCTAGAGACTACTTTTAAAGTGAATCACACAATGTTTTTTCAATTACAAAGGTATGGTTTTAACTGGGCCAGCTCTTAACTCTATAAACCCTGAGTCTTATCCACCGTTTCCCAGAGTTTTTTTCTAATCTACAACGTCTCATTAGAATCCTAAAAGCTTGCCTCCAACTTCTAAATATCGGAAACAAAGGCTTAGTCATTACTAAAAAACTTGGTTCTGGAATAGTTCCGAAAAAAAAGCAAAAACTAGCACTAAATGAAACGAAACGGTTGTCATTAGTGCTGGACGGTCAGATGGGGAACAGGGTTATTACCGCCGGACGCTCCCAGCGTCCGATGGGGTTCAAAGACTTAAGACAATCGGATACTTTTTTGACCAGGTGATTTTGTTTTAGTTTGTTTTAGTAGAGGTTTTACGGCGCTCGCAACTGCATAAGGTCATATGAGCGCCAGTAGAATAGAGGTGTTACAAGAGAGTAACAAACATAAAAAAGAAAGAGGGGAGATAAGGACAATAGATGTTTCATTAGAAGGAAGAAGCAAACCACACCAGAGCACCCGCCAACCACCCACCAGGTGATTTTTTTTGTGGTTTTAGTTTGAGTAAGTGAGTGTTTTACGATACTTGAAACACAATAACGTCATACAAGTGCTGAAGATTAGAGGCGTTACAACAGAGTAACAAACACAAAATAGAAGGAGGGGAGATAAGGAAGATAGACGTTGGATAGGGAAGAAGGAGCAAACCACACTAGAGCACCTCCCAACCACCCACTGACCACGTGAGACAAGCAAGTGATTCTACCAACGGAGAACAACTAAATGAAATGACTGACCAGATTGGCAGAGCACATGTATGTTTGTTTGCCGGTTTGAGTAAAGAGAAATATATCAACACAATAAGAAGAAGTTCCTCTGGACAAGAGAATGATTCCATACAAAAATTTGCCTCACCGTAAAAAAACAATAATTCAAAGGCAAATTAGTGAAATTTGGTCAGAAAAAAGTTTCATGCTAAGTGAAGGATAAACAGGCGTTGTCCTCTGCTCAGAAGAATGCACAGGTAAGGAGGCGCTGTGGGCTATGGGCAACATAGCCACAAGCCTTCTGCATGCTGACAAAAAATATATTATTGTGACCAAGGACAGATAGTATAATTCCGTTACTTTGTATAACCGTCTCCTCAAGACTGACGACACCTTGTCTGTAGGGACCCACTGATGAATCGCAAACTGTATTCTAAATGTCTTGAAGGAAAGAAAGTGCCTTGCCATTGGGGACTTGGATTTTAAAAAAAATTATTATAATGGAAATATCAAGTGAATGGTAAGGATGAACAGGAGATCTATAAAGTTTATGTGTGCAGCATCATGGTGAAACCAGGCACTCATCTAAACAATGTAATCAAAGAAACCAAACATTTTTTCCAACTGTTGGACAATATTTATTGAATTTTCTTTTTAGCTCAACACCTATTTTGTCTCTTCACAAAACCAGACATTACTATTGGAGGTCACAATGGTTTAAAATCAACCGTGTGATGTGGCCCATAAATAGTAATTTGCCCGTGATCATAGCATACATGTACTTCCAAGTCAGCAGAGGTCAGAGGTGGAAAAAAGAGACCTCGCAATTTCAAAAGGCAAGTGACTGACACTTGGAAATTATTGTAAGTTACAGCGGTGGTGAGAAAAAAATCTATGGATGTCCCTACAGGTTGTTTTATGTTTTAGTTTATGTAAGAGTTTTACGACACTTGCAACACAGTAGCGTCACATGAGTGCCGGAGATTAGACGTGTTGCAAGAGAGTAACAAACACAAAAAAGGAGGAGGAGAGGTAAGGACAATATGTTTGATAGAAGGAAAGAAGCAGAAACCTACACTATAGCACCTACTAACCACCCACGCCCCAACAACGGCTTGAAAAGTTGGGATGCATTTACACCGACGCCCCCATCAGATGCCTGTACTGTTACTGTAGGTGTTTGACTGCTCAGTGTTAGAGTCCGTCACATGGCACTTTTCAAAATGATAAACGACGGAGTCGGATGTCACTTTTCAAAATGGCATACGAAACTCTACAAATAATGGTAATACATGGTTACGTGTACTATGAACACAGGGCTTGTTATAAGTCAATGACTATTAGTCATACGCAATTCTGAAACAGTGAAAGATATGATAGTTCCATTGACCAATGTTGGACAGTAAATAAATTGTGATGACGAACAGATTAACGGTAAAAACAAAGGCTGACACACTTTTCTTACCCCTCTCTTTTTCCAGCCTCAACCACATTTTTCACCTTATGCCTTATAACCATAGTTTTAAGGGGACAAGAGTAAGGCAGTAGTAGTTAGATTGGATGGAGAGGCACTTCGAGATAAATTATAGGGGACAAATGTGACAAACGGAACTGTCCTTCAGATGCATAAAGATGCCGCAAAATCGAACCTTCCCGTTGACCCCACTAGCTTTGAATTTCTTAGTTGTCCAGCTAGCTCCCAAGAAACAAAAAAGGCAACCTTAGCTGTTCAGTGAAAAGCAAAGAGATGGAGGATATCATTGTGGCCGGGAGCTCCGGCTTAATGTCAACTCTCGAGGCACAGCTGGGTGATCTCTTGAAAGACCAATTGCATCCAGAGACTGCCCAATGCCCCTCTGACCAACTTGATAGGTGAGAGGCATTTTGGGCATCTGGATGCAAGCCAGAGAAGAAGACCACACTGCTAACTACATCACCACTCCTCAGTAATACTGCTCAAGCAGACAAGAAAGAGGTAGCACAGTTGGTACAACACACTATCGAGAAGAAAGAAGGATGAATTATGAAGGATGGCTGGGAGAGAAAGTGGCAGAATGAGGCGTAAACACCAAGAGCATGACAGTAAAGCAGTACTGAATTTTGCGCGGGTGGCGGCTGAAGCCTACTTTTATCGATTTTAGACCACCAAGGGATCTTTAACGTGCGCAACTCGCACACGGGCCCTCCCACATTTTTTGCCCTTGTCCGAGAAGGCTAGGTGTAGATCTTTCCTACCAGAAGATCAAGGGTGTGGCTGAAAGACAGCAGTAAGAAGGAGCCAAGGAGTAGCGGTAGAAAGGCTGCAGAAAGATTCAGGAGCCAGATGGGGCAAAGGAGGTGAGGGGGTGGGGCAGAAAAAGGAGACGAAAGCAGACGACAGAACATTGCAAGAGAGCAAGAAAGGAGGTGAAAGGACACAATTTTAGAGAAAAAAATTTTTTGGTCGCTACCCGGATTCGAACCTGGGACCTTTGAATGAGAGGCCAACACCTTAACCTCTAGGCCATGAGAGCCCCCCTATAAGCTATGCTAGGTGTGGAAGAATAAGCTTTTAAAATAAAGAAATCTTAACTTTAAACGTGTTTTTCTCAAAACTGCCATGCCTCACCTTCTGATTCTGATACAAATCCTCATCACTTTTGAACCAAAGATGCTAGACACTTCAAATAAAAGCAAAACGATTAGAAATGAACTTAGATTTAAAAAATACCATAATCTCACATTTGACCTGGGGACCAAGCTATAGGGTTTTCCTGTGCAGCCACACAAATTATCGAGAAAATGGCCGCCAAAGTTTGGTAACAAATAGCTAGTCTTTGAAAACTGAAAAATGATATATTTTGTGCCTTTAATTAATGTTTTTCAATAAAATTCACAAGGAAATGTGTTTTTATCTTGACATAAAAAAAGGTAAAGTAAAAAAATACAAATTCAATCAAAATTTCCAAATTGGCGGAAAAATGCCTGCTTCTCCGATTTCATTATTTTGACGAGCCACTGATTTTACCACGCTGCCTCACATATATATGACTTTTTACAATTTTCATGACAAACATCTACATCCTCAGACAGAACACATACTAACTCTAACTACCACTTCCTGTTGTTGTTCCTCCTCCGCCCAACCAGCTTAGCCCTAAGATCTACAGTTCCTGCTGCATTCTCCGACGACGTCTCAAATCCCGCACCTCTCTGCCGCTGCCCCAATCTCTGCATGAGAGGGCGTCGATCGTTTCGACTGTCTCTGTTGTTGGCGTGCGGCCTACGAGCTGCGTACATGCCCCTCTCCTCCTCCTCGCTGTCCTCGCTCAGCTGTTTGGCAGCCAGCACTGCTGCACTACTATTGTCTCTTTTGGCCGTACCAAACAAGTTAAAAGGGTCGTCGTCCTCCACATTGTCGTAATCCACCCACTGCCGCTGACGGGGAGGAGGTTCAAACTCCTCCTCTTCCTCCTCCTCTAGCACGCCTTCCTCTTCCTCCTCCTCCTCGGAATGATCATCAACGTGGTAATCCCTCAACGGCATAATGGCCTTGGCTCTGACTTTGGATGCCCTGTGGAAGACACACAAAAATGACGAGGGCTGTTATTTACATAGAAAACATTTCCCAAACTCACTGTACATTTGCACATTTGGTATGGGAACTCGGCTAACAAGTAAACTCTCATGGTTGGAATCTGAGTGGGTTCTAAAGTGCCCTTGCCCTCCTTGAAATGTTTATTCCTCTCCATCCATTGTCCTGAGAGGGGATCCCAAGATTCACCCTCAAAATGCCCAAAGGCCAACAAACTTCACAGAAAAAAGTGTCGAAAGAAAATGAACAAAAATGTCCACATCATATCCCCAGGTTATGTCAAGGTTTCAAAGATAAGGAAAATACCTTCTTCTCTGCATTGCCCTGCTTGATCTAACGAATAGCTGACTCCTGGTTCTTCAGCCTGCAGCGCAACTCATCATTAGGTATGTGACCATTTTTCCTATTTCATAGGGTCCCTTGCCTTCTAGTTTTTCAAATTCATAAAATATTCTAGAACATTACAGACTTCTGGAATTTCATGCGTGGCCTTAGAAACTGGGATACGAGTGTACTCCAGAAAATAAACCCTTACCACATAAACAACCTAATTCAACAAACACAGTAAATCTAAACCTTAATAATGTGGTAAAAACTGTCCCCAAGACAAGTGACATGTCACATATTGATGAGCTAATCGTCAACTAACAGTGAAAGATCTTGTCAGATTGTTAGTCTGGGAAGCTGAGAATATTTCTGAGTTGTGTTCAAGGGTGTAGACCACCCCGTTGAGCTTGGATATGCGCTTTATGAATGGAAATACAGCACAACACGGATAGCTCGAATCCATTGGGACCAGCCTCAGTTGTTAGAGGGATCCGTAGTTCGATGGATATCTTATCAAAGTTAAAGAGAAAAAAAACAAAAAACACATGACCGCAGGAACAGTTCGACGAATGTGTGACATCAAGTCTTGTGTTCGACCAATCCATGTTATACTGAATTATTATCATTATTACTATTGTTGTCGTTATCATTATTATCATCAATATTACTTAAGTCAAGTTAAGTAAAACAATCGTGCAAGCTTACTTCCGGGCAATGATTTTCTCTTCTTCGTCATCCGCGTGCATACGCATGAATCTCTTTTTAGATGGAGGCCCATCTTCGCCCATCAGTCTCTCCAGCTCAGCACCATAATCCATTTCATCATCTGAGTTGCCACCGGAAACTGAACGATTCTCTGTGGATGGAGAAAAACAAAGTTCTGTAAAGTTCAGTTATTTACTATTGACATGGATGTAAAGAGGGACTACAGTTTCGGCTCACTTTCATACCTTCTGTTTTTGATGTGCTTATTTTCATGTTAAATTTTTCGCAACTGTTGTTCAGTTCGGTAGTGTGATTTTGGACGCTTTGTTGGTTTGGATGAATATGACATTGGTCGTCTACAAATAGAAGTTCATTTAGGCTTTCTGGGCTTTGGTTTGCGTCTTGTATCCATATATATTATAAATAGGAGGGGAGACAGAACGCATCCCTGTGGTACTCCAGATCTTACTTTGAACCAGTCTGTATTGCCTTCCTTCGTTGTTACGGAGCCTTTGCTGTTGGTGCATAGAGCTCTGACATTATCTAACATTTGTCCTCTGACGCCATACTTTTCGAGTATCTTTCAGAGTTATGCATGGTTTACTCTGTCAAACGCCTTCTCCTGGTCTATAAAGATGATGTTGCATTCTTTGTGGTGTTCGATAGTTTTCTCACGTATCTTAATGCAAATACAAATAACGGTTAATACAGGAAAAGACAAAAAAAACCTCCCCCCTCCCAAAAAAGAACAACTTGGAAAAGCTTCTCAAACTAACCTATCTCCCTGGCCGCATCCTCATCCAGATCTTGGTTCAGCACGTCTCTCAGGTCTGTCCCTTCTGCAAGTTTTACGCGAGGGCCTTCCCTCTCAACCCTCTTGCTCTTCAGTTTGGAAGGTACACCCAGCCGGCCTGCAAGCCGTGACTTCGCGCCAACCGTCTCCTCTTTCAGACCACCAACAAACATATTCGATGGGTTAAGACTTTCATCAGCTTTTTCACTTTCAACGTTTCTAAGGCGTCTCTTCCTGGGGAAATAGTCACAAGGGCAAAGAATTAGAGAAACCGTTACAAAGGGATCATGAATTATAAGATCATTCAAATATAAATGTTAGAATATAAGCAGAGTCCGCTAAAAAAACAAAATATGTCGGACCAACGGATTTTTATTCAATTCTGCCGGGTCTTCTGTATAGAGATATTGCTCAAATAGAGGAAAAGAAAATTGAGGATTTTATTTTCCATCTAGTTACCTGTTTTTGGACGAACTATGTTCAATTTAAGGTTATTCGGGGGGCTCTCGTGGCCTAGAGGTTAAGGTGTTGGCCTCTCATTCAAAAGGTCCCGGGTTCGAATCTGGGTAGCGACCCAAAAATTTTCTTATCTAAATTTGTCTCCTTTCACCTCATTTCCTGCTCTCTAGCAATGTTCTGTTGGCTGCTTTCGTCTCCTCTTTCTGCCTCCACCCCCTCACCTCCTTTGCCCCTTCCTCTGGGCTCCTGATTCTTTCTGCAGCCTTTCTACTGCTACTCCTTCGCTTCTTCTTACTGCTGTCTTTCAGCCGCACCCCTGATCTTGTGGTAGGAAAGATCTACACCTAGCCTTCTCGGACAAGGGCGAAAAACCTCGGAGGACCTGTGTGCAAGTTGCGCACGTTAAAGATCCCTTGGTGGTCTAAAATCGACAAGAGTAGTCTTCGGCCGCCACCCGGGCAAAATTCAAAGTTTCCGACCAACTGAAAATATTGGGTGTGTCCCGCACGCTCATATGACCTTATGCAGTTGCGAGCGCCGTAAAACACTTTACAAAAACAAAAACAATAAGCTTATTCTACTGTCATTTATTTATGACCAGTGAGAGTGGGATTGTCCATGTTCTATCAAGAAAAGACAAGGACAATCACAGAAAAGGACAGCAGCACCCTGTCCCTTTCCAGAAGCCTTTCCCTTGCTACCTGAAAAACCCTGTCCGTTTCAAACATCATTCTAACATTCCATGTTCCTATCTTTGATACCTTGTTCAAAGAATACTAGTCCGTTTGGTGAGTTGTTCCTGATGGCTTTCATCACCAGACTTTACATCATCACCACAAGAGGCATCGCCGTCTCCCAAGATTAGTAAACTAGTTGTTTCCTCTTCTTGATGTTTCTGTAGCAACAGAGTTTTGTTTTGTACTATAGGGTAAAGGTGCTGGCCTACAATAGCAACAGAGTTTTGTTTTGTACTATAGGGTAAAGGTGCTGACCTACAATAGCAACAGAGTTTTGTTTTGTACTATAGGGTAAAGGTGCTGACCTACAATAGCAACAGAGTTTTGTTTTGTACAATAGGGTAAAGGTGCTGGCCTACAAGCTCTGAGCCAAACCCCCAATCTGGAGGATCAGGCGTCTCTTGTCTTGGGTGGCACTGCCTATGTTGCCATTCAGTTGCCACTTACTTACAATACGTTAGCCCAATGTCAGCCCTGTTCTTCTCAAAGGCCTGGGACTGTAAGGCAAATAGCTGCCATTAGTGAAACTAAAGTGTTTGAAATTACTTGCCTTACTCTTCACAAGTAAGTGTCAAATTTTGGATAAATCAGAATGAATGAAGTGCCTAAAGTATCAAACTGCTGTTTAGGGGGATTTTTTTCTTTGGTAAGTGTATTATGGCACTTGCAACTGCATACGGTCATATGAGCGCTTGAATTTTGCTTGGGTGGCGGCTGAAGCCTATTCTTATCAATTTTAACCCACCAAGGGATCTTTAAGGTGCGCAACTTGCACACTAGACCTCCAAGTTTTTTCGCCTTTGTCCGAGAAGGCTAGGTGTAGATCTTTCCTACCAAAAGACCAGGGGTATGGCTGAAAGACAGCAGTAAGAAGGAGCCATGGAGTAGCAACAGAAAGGCTGCAAAAAGAGTCAGGAGCCCAGATGAGGGGGTAAAGGAGGTGAGGGGGTGGGGAGCAGAAAGAGGAGATGAAAGCAGATGGCAGAACATTGTTAGAGAGCAGGAAAGGATGTAAAAGGAGAAAATTTTATAGAAGAAAATTTTCCCTCACCATCCGGATTCGAACCCATGACCTATTGAATGAGAGGTGAACACCTTAACCTCTAGACCATGAGAGCCTCCAAAGTATCAAACTAAATGCAGCAAACTGACCAAATGTCACAACACAAGTCAATACATTATGTACCCACCTTGAAGTGCTGATGAAGCCTTTCAGACCTGCGAAGTAGAAAACAAATGCATTTTAGAACAAAATAACTCTTAAAGGTAAAAAAAAATTATCATGGCATGCCAATCCCATTGAATATATGAAAACTAAGGGAGGCTCTCTTATTATTTTCTACCACGATATGTGTGCAGCTCTAGGAAAACCATTCGCAACAGCCGATTCTTTCAAAACTTCCTTTCTCTTCTGGTAAGTTCAACATTGTCTAAAAGACACATCTTTCTTTAAAATTTTGCATTTTATTTTGGGGCGACAGGAGCATTTTGTGAATAGCAAGAGCTCTTCAAAAAGCCTGTGGGTAGGAGCCATGAATTTTGAGGGAAAAAAAAGGCAATAAATTTTCCATGGAGAGCTTGCATATAAAAAACCCATAAAAAAAAGTGCTATTCAATCCTTTCCTGCTACATGTACTAACATACTCATGCCCACAAGGGTCTCCTGAGAAAGGCAGGAACTTTTCTTTCGATTTGGTCAATGACATGAAGAGGGATCTCATAGAAATTAGTGTTTGTCCTCATGTGTTAGCAATATCAAATTTCTGTAAAATCTGACTGTAAAGCCCTAAAAATAATTTGTACTAAATTCTTAATCAATTATACAGTTGATTATTATTATTATTTTTTTTTCAGCAATATTGCTCAGAGTACAAGTGACGAACACAAAAATTTAGTACGGATCAACAACTCTTTTATATCCACACAACATCATCAAGGCTACATTTGGTCGAAATCGCTCACCTGAGCCAATAACAGGAGAAAATTTGTCTCAAATTAGAAAAGAGAAAGAGAAGTGCATGTACACATATACACACAGGGAGGGAGGGAGAGGGAGAGGGAGAGAGAGAGAGAGAGAGAGAGAAAGAGAGAGAGAAAGAGAGAGAGAGAGAGATGGGAGATGGAGAGAATGAGAGAGAGAGATGGGAGAGGGAGAGAGAGAGACAGAGAGAAAGACAGAGAGAGAGAGAGAGAGAGAGATGGGAGAGGGAGAGAGAGAGACAGAGAGAGAGACAGAGAGGGAGAGAGAGAGAGAGG